ACACACACACACACACACACACACACACACACACACACACACACACACACACACACACACACACACACACACACAACGAAGACAACAATAAACTTGACATTATTTAATATTTTGTTTTGCTTTTATTACTCTCACAATGTTTAACAGTCCGGAATTGTTTGAAGCTTAATTAAAAGCTTTGAAAACAAACGTTTCAATTAAGGTCAAACGTCAAATGCAGGTGAGTCTATTTTGGGTTCATATTTACATATCCACATCAGTGTATCACAAGTCATGAACCTCATCACACATCACACAAATAGTCTCTGTCTCCTACACAGGCCTTAGGATGACTTCTTTCCTGTAGGAGAAGTGGGTGAGTTTGACCTTGTGCTGCATCAACTCTCTGCACAACAGCAGGCGGTAAAGAGACAAGGTGAACTTAGCCAGCACTAATGTGCAGGTTACTTCCACCAGCAGAAGAGCGATGTACATGAGTGCCTGAGATTTGCACTGCAAAGCTGCTTTTGTGTCCTTGTATGATAACAAACTGGGCGCCTTCTTGGGGTGTTCCTGGATGGGACAGGTGAAAATGACCGTGGTTGTCGGTTTAGGAAGGGGGCTTGTCGTCTGAGTGGTGGTCAGTTGACTTGTGGGTGTATTTGTAGTTGTTGCTGATTGTGTAGTTGCGATTTGAATTGTGCTCATGGTGCTGGGTGACGTGGTCATGACTGTGATTGCTGCCGGTGTAGTAACGGGTGTCGTCGTGAAAATGGTTGTGGTTATTTGCGGAGTGGGTGTCATGGTGATGGCTGGTGAGGTTGTTAGACTTGTTGTGGGTGTGGTGGTTGTCGGTGTAGCTGTTGTTGTTAATATCGTTGTGGGTATAGCAGTTTTCGTTGTGGTTGTTTGCAGAGTGGACGTCGCAGTGCTGGCTGGTGAGGTTGTTAGACTTATTGTGGGTGTGGTTGTTGCCAATGTGACAGTTGGCGTAGCTGTTGTTGTTAATATCGTTGTGGGTATAGCAGTTTTCGTTGTGGTTGTTTGCAGAGTGGACGTCGCAGTGCTGGCTGGTGAGGTTGTTAGACTTGTTGTGGGTGTGGTGGTTGCCAATGTGACAGTCGGTGTAGCTGTTGTTGTTAATATCGTTGTGGGTATAGTAGTTTTCGTTGTGGTTGTTTGCACAGTGGACGTTACAGTGCTGGCTAGTGGGGTTGTGATTAAAATGGTTGTCTGTGGTGGTGTTACTTTTGCAGTTGTTGTGACCAAAGGCACTGGTGTAGTAGGGACAGTCACTAGTGTTGTTTGCTGTGCTGTCGATTTCATGTCAATCGTCGTTTCTTCTGGTGCGATTGTAGTCGAGGCCGTCGTAGTTGAAGGTGTCGTAGATGTAGGTGTGGTTGGCCAAGTCGTGGTTGCCATCATTGTTGAGAGGGTGGTGGTTAGTTCTCGCGTTGTGAGAGCAGTCGTAGGCAACATGGTGGTTGTGAATGGAAAAGTAGGGCAAATAAATTGCCTTTCTCCCAATGACTTGATCTCCTGTTCTTTAAGATCTTCTGGATTCCAACAGACAACTGGCTTCCGAACAATCGCAGAGTTTGCTTTTATCCACCGATGGAGAGGTAAAAGGTTGCAGTCACAATTCCAGGGATTGTCATTTAGATACACTTTAGTGAGATGTGTTAAAGGTTCAAAAATATCCTGAGGGAGCATTTCAAGATTGTTGCTGGACATGTCCAGGGAGCTCAGTGACGGAATCTTCTCAAATACATCCGCACCCAAGGAGTCTATCTTGTTGTTTCGCAGATTCAAAAGGGTGAGTCTTTGCAGTCCTTCAAAGTAGTCAGCTGACAGTGTAGTAAAGTGATTCTTGGATAGATCGAGCTTGGTCAGCCGACTCAGAGGACTGAATATTGCTTTTGGGAGGTCACTCAGTTGGTTTTGACTTAAGCTTAAATCTGTCATTTTGGTCAGTTCCCCAAAAAGCACAGGCGGAAGGCTTGATAGTTTATTCTTGTGCAGGGTCAGTGTTTTGAGATTAGGGAAGCCAACAAAAAATTCACTTGGTAAATTTGTCAAGAGATTGTCATCCAACACAATCTTTGTGAGTTTGTCTTTATATGGAAACTGTTTGGGAGACAACTGTGTTAATTTGTTGCTTTGCAAAGAAATCTCTTTCAAATTTGGTAAACTATGAAAAATATCCTCTGGAATGGCAGTGAGCTGATTTTCATAAAGCCGCAGCGTGGCCAGTTTGCTTAGCTTGGAGAACCAGTGGGTTGTCACAGCGGTGAGTTGATTTTTAGCCAGATGGAGTAACATGAGGTTCTCAAGGCCATCAAAAGTCCCATCTTCAATAGATGCAATCTCATTTCCATGTAACTGGAGCTCTCTTACCTTTTTGAGACTGTCAAACAAGCCTCGCTCCAGATGACGGATCTTGTTCAATTTTAGAATAATTTTCTCCAGGTTGTTGAGGTGGGTAAAGACTCCAACAGGGATGGACGTCAGCGGCGTGCTCGAGATCTCAACGTACTTCATGTCGACCAGACCTTCAAAAGCTCCTGGCTCGATAACGGTGGTGTTTGTGTTAATGAACTCCACCTTTTCCAGTTGGGGGTTTTCCACAAAGGCTGCTTTGGGGATTGTATTGATGTTGCTGTCCAAAAAGAAGACTTCGGTCACGCCTGCCCCCAGAGTCCTTGGGATTTCTCGAGCTGCACTAAAGACAATTTGGTTTTCTGAAGGACAGTCGGTCTCTTTTTCACATGAATGGTTTTCAGACAATAAGGAGTCCAACAGTGAAAACAAAAAACAAAGTATGACATGTTGTCTCCGCATGCTTATGTCCTAGAAGAAATAGAGAGATTTTTAAAAAACTGATTTGATTGCCAAAACTAAATGTTGTAAAAGCCAAAGAACACCCCTCCCTACCTGTTATTTCCTGTAGTAGGATGCAGGAGCGGGTTGTTACAGCAGGAAGGAAATGCAAACAGACGTGGTTTTATAAGTTCTTGTCTTTATCAATGTTGCCAGTGACCATCCAGGGCGCGGCCCAACACGTTCCTGTGACTGGAGATAACAGCAGAGAAGGAAGTTGTTGAGCTGTTGTTTTTAACCAATTACAACACAGGGTTGCAGCATGTCTCCAAAATAAGAAAGAACTCTGTTATTTTATGTATTTGCCAAAATGTCATCAGAAAGTAATGACAACTTTGTCACTTGTTTTTCAAATAGAATTTCCCATGTATGGTTTCATACTCTCTGCAGCATCCGACTAATGTTTTAGAATTGAGCAAAATTGATCATTTTTTGCAACATCTGACAGTTTTCATTTATTATTATTATTATTATTATTATTATTATTATTATTATTATTATTATTACTCTGTTATAGAAACATTGCTGACAAAATTATTTTCAAAAACTAAACATATTTTATTCGAATAATAATTTAATGTTAGTACTACTCTACTTACAGTAAAGGGATGTAAGAAATCAGACTGCAAAGCAATGCTATTGTGTGTTAACCGATAAATAATATTTGCTCAAGAATACGTGCAAGCCTTGTCAGCTTAGCTGCTATGCTAATTGGTTAACAACAACAAGCTTCCAGTACAGTAGCTATAATAAACGTCATTT